TTGAACTGCAATACGCTTACTGTGAGAACATAGACGACGGCCGGGGATACACGTCCGGAAGGGCCGGATTCTGTACGGGAACGGGAGATGCGGTGATTGTGGTCAGGAAATACACGGCTAAAAAGCCCAACAACCCATTGGCTAAGTATCTGAAAGAGATGGAGAGATTGGCCAAAGAGGAGAGCGACGACACGAGTAAATTAGGCGGTTATGTGAACGCCTGGAAAGAGGCGGCGAAGGACTCTGTCTTCCGTAAGATTCAGGACGAGGTGTCCGACGATCTGTACTACAAGTATGGCATCTCTTATCATGTGTTTAATTGAATACATATTAATTTATTGTGTATTTTAATGACATTTATAGGCCAGCGATGGCATTGGCCAAGAAGTACGGCGTGAAGACACCATTGGCTGAATGCGCTCTCTATGACTGCATTATACAACACGGAGACGGAGACGACGGCGACTCCATTAACGCCATACTCAAGAAGACGGGACACGTGTCGGGCGATGAGAAGGAGTGGCTGAAGAAGTTCCTGAAGAACAGACGCGCCGACCTCTGGGACCCCGAAGATCCCGACACACGAGACGAGTGGAGACAATCCGTGGATCGGGTCGACGCCATGACCACCATTTTGAAAGATGACAATATGGATTTGGACGGACCCATCAAAATACATACACCCAACCACGATGCCACCATTCCTTAAACTAACCAAGCGCATTTGTAAAATTTATACGTTTTTTAAATAATTAATAGCATTATTTGTTGCAATTGTTACAATTTGTTACAAACCCAGTACTATATGATGATGATAATATTCTGTAATATTTTTTTGTTTATAAAATTTCATTTGTAAATTTATGTATTTAAATGTGCATTAAATTGTTTATTAAATAAAAGTTTATGCATTCAAATATTCGTTTTAATGTGCAGTAATTACAATATTTTATTATAATAACTAAATTAACATAACTTTACAATTAAAATGGTGCATATACATAAATGCATTATTATACATAAATGATGTATAATAATGCAATGGCAATTTTGATTAACGTTTAGAAAATTATCATAATACACCAAAAAATAATACCTTGATAAAAACTTATTTTAATAAAAGATGCGGTCTTATGATCTATGTTATGCGAATATCAAATCTACACCATACCAGCCCATATTTCATTAAAATAAGTTTTTATCTAGGCACATATTATAGCTCATAAAAATCAATTAATTATAAATTCATACTAGAAATCCGGGAATCATTACTGAGAAAAACGATTACATGTAAAATATCTAAATGTAACTTATAATAAAAATAAGTATATTTTGCAATTGATTTAAAATGTCCACCTCATTAAATTATGCATTTAAGCACTGATTCTTATTATCTTAAACACTTAAATTGAAAACAAAATGTATAGCATTTAAATTAAAATCAATAATTCGTTTATTATGTACACATATTTGTGTTACATATTTATTATGTATTTACTTCCAGACGTAAAGCAACTTTTGCGGTATAATTAGCTGAATGTTTGCATTAGTACTGTAGATTGAAGGTAGAATCATGAATCATGACAAACTTGTCCAAATAAGAATTAAGGTCTAATTAATTAATTATAAATATATTGCACAATTACACAAGTATTATAAAATTGTTTATGAAAACAGTTGTCTAAAACCATTTGGCTTAAACAGATTTAATAAATAATTCAAAAATGACAATGTAAAAAAGATAAATCACAAAAGTAAGTAAATCAGTCAAAAACCACCACATATTATACAATCAATCAAAAACTAAAATGGTATAAAATGACTGACATTTAGCTGTAGTCAATAGGTATTCAGTTTCATCTGGATGAGAATACTCTCAGCGTTGACTTAATACAAAACTCTACAAAAACCACGATGAAATTATCGCTAATATTTGCGTTGGCATTCATTGTCTATAGGGTTGGGGCAGACCTGCCGTCGGCCGCGAAGAAACGGTGCGAAGAGTACACATCGATCTTCGAGAACGACACGATTGAACTGCAATACGCTTACTGTGAGGACATCGGCGACGGCCGGGGATAC